ACAGATCTTATCTTAAAATTTATTTATAAAATTTATTTATTCACCAATGGCACCATGACAACCCCAAGGACAAAACTTGTAGGACTTCAAACCAAGGGTCCAGCATACTTGTGCATAAGCAAACATGTAGGATTTGGCAAAGTGCAGGATGCCCCCCCCCCCACTTTTCTGACTTATGGGTCTGGGATAGGATCAAAGAATAGCTATTTTAAATGCCCCCTTTGGGTGGTTCTACTACAGGAGGTCTAACGATCAAGGCTGCGAGGTTCCAAACTCCTTTTAGAAAAACAGGCAGAAGCTCTGACTGCTTGACCTGCTGCCCTGGAGGCTCCTGGGAGATCCGTCTGTCTCAGAATCTGTCACCTGTTTGGCTTTTGGCCTCTTGCAAAAGAAAATCTCAGAATATCCCATAGGGTTGGCTTTCGAACCTATATACTTGGGGTGGACCTTTCACACAGTATGGCTTTGTTATTATTTTTGAGTGAACTCAAAAGTAGCTATTATTTTAGACTCCAACACTTTCTCAAAGACTTCACCCATGGTCTGGGGGTTTATCTTAAGAGTTGAGGATTAGCTACAGAGGTGTGATGTTTAGGGATAAGAGTCTCCCATGGAAATAAGTCAGCAAATGATAGTGTTAACATTCAAGAAAGGAAGAACAAAATCTTTTTGAATCCCATGGTATAGTGGTGAGGGACCCATTCATGTGACATCAGGGATCTTGAGTCACATCCTGATCTTATGTACCCTTGTGGCACCACAACTCCTAATACAGTGTCTGACTTAAGGCAGACTTCATGTGCATTTGTTGAATGAATGAACAGATGAACTAATGAACACTATATATACAATATCTGAAGAGCTGATTTCTAAAGATCCTTACTCTTTACAATTGGTAGTAAAACTTAAAAACAAATACTTAAAGGCATTCTTCAGGAAAACATATTTTTTGTTAGGTATGATGTCAAAATTGAGTCTGATGGTTCTTTTAAATATTTTTTTATATTTTATTTATTATTTTTATTTTATGTGTATATCCCTCAGTTTTGGAGATCCACCTCTCTTGGGCCCTCAAATAGAGCCTGAATGCCTATTAGTTGGGTGTAATAAAAACTTTATACTTTCCATTAAGTTTGTATGAGTGTATTGCCTGCATGTATGTGAGTGCGCCCCTGTTGTGCAATCCTGAGGAGGTCAGAAGAGGGCTTCAGATTTCCCGGGAACTGGAGTCAAGGATGGTTTGTAGCCACCGTGTGGGTGCTGGGAATTGAACCTGGGTCCTCTGCAAGAGCAGTCAGTGCTCCTAACTGCTGAGCCATCTCTCCGGCCCAAGTCTGATGGTTCTTAACAATATTAAATAAGTCAAAATGATGGACAACAATAGACACTGATGAAAGCAAAGCAACAGCTACATCCACATTCACTGTAAATCACCAGTTTTAAACCAAGTTGTATAAGATGGTGAATGTACTTAATACATAAGAGATTTGATAGTCCCAACTCTTTGCCATGTTAATTAGCTTGACATCAGTATCTAAAATTAAGCTCTTGGAGGATGATAGGAGAGCATCTCAAAGAAAAAGGCTCAGTAGCAGTTCCTGGGGTTCAGAATGAGTTCACCAACAGGCTACTGCAAACAAAACTAATGGCATAGCCTAGTAGTTTCATTGGACTTTCAGACAATGCTGTAGTGTTGGCATATCTGGATTTTTAGATGTAGCTATTGAAGGTCTACAAGTCTCCTGACGCCTTCTCTTAGTCATCTTAGGACCCACATGCATGTTACCCTTCCTGTTGAATCCTCGCTAATCCCAGGAGAGATAATGATGGTGCTTGGTTACTGCAATTAATTCTGTTTCAAACTTATAGGTTTATGTCTTTGGTACTGGCCTGACAAGTGGAGGTAGATGAAGGCCACATTATCTTGATTATAGATTCCTAGTATTTATCTAGATGATTCCCAACGTGCTGAAGGTTCTGTGTATGATGATAATTCTGGCAGTAAGAGGGAGCAGTGTGAGCCTGGTAACAAGGCACGAGGAGCCCTTGCAGGGATCAACATTCAGCTCCAGGAACTCACCCATCCACATTGTCTGTGAGGCAGTCCCTGTCCCTTGCAGCCTTGTTCTTCAGGGCTTTGATAACATGAATAACATGGTTTTGTGCTGTGGGTGTTGTATATCCCTCAGTTTTGGAGATCCACCTCTCTTGGGCCCTCAAATAGAGCCTGAATGGCTATTAGTTGGGTGTAATAAAAAACTTTATACTTTCCATTAAGTTTGTATCAAATGGCCCAAAGCATCCTTCCTACAAATGAGGTTTTATAGGATTCTAGAGAAAATTAAAACACACACACACACACACACACACACACGCACAGAGACACAACACACACACACACACACACACACACACACACACACACACATAGAACTTAGGTCCAAAAATAAATTTTAAGCCCAATACTCTAGGGTAAAGTTGGTATTATGTGTGGACATGTAATTAGCAATGCTCTTTCCAGCTTCCTTAGGACATAAAAATGCTTTTAAGAAGTGAATTGGGTGGTCCAAGGTCACTTAGAAGAAGACGATGAATTTGTGCCAATGTCATGTTTTTGCTTGAGTAAAGCTCCCGGTAGTGGCATTTGCTCAACAAATATTTATTGGATTGTTAATGTATGCAAGGCTGTGCACGGTAGTATGCAAGGCCCAGTAAGTCCTGGGACACTCAATACCTCTCCTTACAGATATTTTGTTGATTTACTGTCAGAGCACTTCATACTCCATTAGGAAACAAACAAACAAAAACATCCAATTACTAAGTCATTAGCACTGCCTTTAAAAATCGAAGATGGGAAAGCAGAGCACTAGGTTGGAAGGGCCCTTGGAGACCCGCACAAGCCCTTACTTCACAGATGGAAGAGCAGACTCATGTAATAAAGAATGAGGTGCCTCTGCAGTGCCACATGGAGAGATGAGGGCTAGAGGTTTGTGAGAAGAAACAAGCTGAGGAACACAAAGGGCAATGAATGCTTTTGGGAAAAACAAAATAATGACAAAGGCCCCAGTACCTTGCACCTTCTTTTTAAAATAATTTATTTATTATTTTTATTTTATACATATGAGTGCATTGCCTGCATGTATATAAGTGCACTGTGTCGTCCAGTGCCTGCAGAGGTCAGAAGAGGGCGTTGGATTCCCCTGGAACTGGATATACAGACATTGTTACTTGCCATGTGGGTGCTGGGAATCCAACCTGAGTCTTCTGCAAGAGCAACCAGTGTTCTTAATCACTGAGCCATCTCTTCAGTACCTTCTTGAAACACAAGAAGTATCTGCCTTACAAGTTGATAGAAGGCAGACATTGGGAGAGGGACTTGAACTGCACCATGAGACGGGGGCTGACTTGTGGATTATTGGAAATTTGCTCTCAGATTTATGTATTTCTCTACTTTTTATGGGTGTATGCATGTGTTGTATGTGAGTGTATGTGTTCATGTGTGTGTAGAGGCCATAGGTCAATGCCATGTGTCTTCCTTGATTGCTGTCTACCTTACTTTTTGAGACAGGGTCACTCAAAAAACTTGGCATTCACTGATTGGGCTAGGCTTGTTAGCCAGTAAGCCCCAAGAAGCCTCCTGTCTCTGCCTCTCTGGTGCTAGGATTGTAGGCACATATTACAGTACATGGCTTTTACGTAGGTCCTGGGGATTTGAATTCAGGTCCTCATGCTTATGATGCAAGCACTGCACTGTATGAGCCATCTCTTTAACCCTGCAATTTTATGGACCTCTATATTGTTTTTGTAACAAATATGTGTGTGTGTCTGTGAATACAGCCACATATCATGTTGTGACAGGAATATATGCTGAGCAATGTTTGCTAAGTGGTTTCTGGTTTCTGGTTGCACAAAGATCACAGAGTACAAACTTAGATGGAATAGCTTAGTAAACATGGACCATGGCAAATGGTCCATTGTTGTTAGTGTCATATACCACATGACTACACAGATAGATAGACAGATATATATGGATAGAGAGACAGATACAGAGAGACAGAGACAGAGAGAAACAGGTAGAGAGAAACAGAGACAGAGAAAATCTAAGTAGGTAGGGAAGAAGTCTTGGAGAGACTCTAGGTACCCCAACATCACCTCTCAATGCCACCCATCACTTGTTGAATAGCTTTTGCCCAGTTATTTAGCACTGCTGGGCTGTGGCTTCCTTATGATAAGGTACAGATGACACTGGTGCCTCCATCAAGGCAGTAGTGAGAATCTGAGGATGAGCAGTTCAGAGCAGTGTCTGGCCCAAGGCAGATCCTCAGTGGGCAATAGCAGCAATGGCAATATTAGCAACAACAACAATAATGATTGCTGCCTACCAGTGGTGCCTAGAGGAGCAACTGCCCCTTTAGACCCCAGCATGGTAGGTATCCACTCTGCCACTGTCCCTCCTCCTAAAGAGAATTCCAGGCTAGACATAAGATGCTAAGGAGAGAGAGAGAGAGAGAGAGAGAGAGAGAGAGAATGTTAGTTTAAGGTGATGCCTGTTGCCTGCATTCCTGAGGGGAGTTACTGGGTGGCTGATGCTCAGAAACGACCTATGTTTCTAAGGAGTCACCCCGAGGGACCAGATATCCTTCATGTGTGTTCATTTTTTAGCAGTTCATGTTGAATGCAATTACAGCTGTGGGATGACGAGCCAAGGGCATAATTCACGAAGTCAATACATTCACCCTTGCTAGCCATGTACACAAAAAATGAAAATAAAGCCCCAGGTTGAGAGTCAGAGGGTTCCCCTCCTTTTTGGAGCATTCCTGAGTAGGTCACGGGTGGCTGTTAGAGGTCTTGGTCAGTGAGAGTGCAGTTAACCCTCTCTGACAGTGTCTCTTAGTGAAAAGGAAAGCTTTGGATTTTTAGGGTTGTGATATGGGCACAAGAATCCTTCAAGAAAGCAGGATGGCTAAAGGCTTGCAGAGGCTTTTCAGGTCAGTACTCACAGTATGATTTCCATATTGGAGGCTGGTATTCCTCAGCATCTAGAATGAAAAGAAGGAAAAGTCTATCAGACTGCATGTCAAATTGCCAAGCCGAGTCTTCCCCAGAGATGGAACAGTCTGCCAGTTCTACTCATGTTCTAGCCCCAGAGGTTTCTCCGCTTTCTGAGGGGATAGTTGCAGGCATAGGGGCAGAATGGGAATGGGCAACTTTGGACCCAACGCCACTTCCTTCACATTCTGTTACAGAACCAACTGCCTAACAATTTTCAGAGTCCAGTATTGGTGGAGGTGTCATTGTGCAATACATGACTACACAGATAGATATACAGTCTTTCTATATATAAGATATATATTATATATATAAAGATTTTAAAGCAATTAACTTAATTGCATTCTCTAGCAATCCTTTCAAACACTATTTTCTAAATTCAGTATAATAAACATATAATTTACATCAGAGTTTCCAATCAGACCTTTAGCCCATTTATTAAGAGTTGAAGGCAGGACACAAAGTGGCAAGCATGCAATATCAGATATAGAAAGCTGTAGAACTGAAGCCACTAAGGTCCTCAAACACTGGGCCTTTCAGAATACACTCATGATGCTATTGGCGCTGTGTAAGCTCCCTGAATTACCGCCAGTGTGTGGCTTAGACTACTTTAAGAAGCCTCACAGCAATCACAAGTGGTACATGAGAGTTACAGCAAGACAGAGACGATGGAAGGTTCTTCATCACTCTAGGCAACAGACAAGGGGTAGAAACCGGCCCTCAGTTCCTTTGCAGTTATTAGTCCTGTGAAACCACAGCTCTAAAGCCTCAGGAAGCCTATTCCAGCCTACATGTCTGGGGGCAGGAGAATCTGTTCCCACGCCACAGGTGGCTCAGAGGGCATCTTGAGTTCTCTGACTCAGCACCTTTAGGTAAGCAAAGTTGCTGGGTCTTCTCCACTCCTAGAACAGCTGCCCCCATCCTGTCCCAGTCCCTGGGCTTCTGTCATGTTAGAACTTTCCTAACTTCATGAACAGATTGAGAAATTTTTTTTCACCCCCCCTGAGAAACAAGAGTGGTATTTACTAATTAAAAGCAACTCTGAAGTGATAAACTTTTCCCCAAATCTGACTCAGTTATGTTTGTTTAGCTTAAATTGTTTATAATGAATATCTTGCTCTCTGGGGCTCATCATCTAACAAAGCTCATTTACACATTTGAGACACAGGGCTGCACACAAGCACAATGGGCTGATGGTTGTGTTGTGACTCAGATTCAGTTGGCCAGACTCTGGCATTAACTCTTAATATTTTTGCCAAAGTAAGAAAGTAATGACTCATATTAATGAGCTTTAAAAATTTTTTTATTTATTAATTTTATGTGTGTAAGAGTACTGTCTGCATTTATGTGAGTGCACCCATGTCGTGCAATGCCGTGGAGGTCAGAAGAGGGCTTTGGATTCCCCTGGAACTCAAATTAAGGACGGTTTGTAGCCACCATGTGGGGCTGGGAATCAAACCCGGGTCCTCTGCAAGAGCAGTCAGTGCCCTTAATTGCTGAGCCATCTCTCCAGCCCCAGTAGATTGTTTTTTACCCCTGGGAGAATGAAGAGTTCGACTCCTTGGCAGATACTGTTAACAGTGGTGAACATGGACAAACACTATGTACTGTGCAGGCCAACTAGAGGCAGAGCACCTTGAAGCACTTTATTCATTATTTTATTTAATCTTTAGGAAAATACTAAAACATAGCAAAGCTCCTAAAGAGTGAGGCATGACTCTAGCCTAAACATCAATAAACATCACTCCTCCAGTCTTGGCCCAACGTTTTCCCAGGGCTAGAATTAAGACTCTTTTCTATGTTGTAACATGTTTCTTATTACATTTGAGAA